CAAAAGGTGAATAAAGAGAAGGCAAACTAGATTTCTAGCTAGGTGAACATATAGCTTGGTACAGAGACATGATTTTTGCAAAATATACAAAATGCAGTACACAAAGTGTGACGTATTTTTGCTGTCCAAATGATTTTTTTGTTTGCTTGCCTGCATATGCAAATACGATGTTTTTAATAGTCTGAAGTTAAATATAAACTGTCAAATTACCATCCATTGTGCTCTGTTTCAGCACACCCTCGGCACAGCCATTGGACTTCCTCTGTGATGACGTTGCTCTCGATGCTCACTCTTCACATCAATACATTTGCGGTATCTGTGGAAAGCCCCGTCAACATAAGCCAGTTGAAGAAGTATAATGAGTGGCGGAGAATGAAGGCGGCAAGTGATGAAATTGTTTGCCTGTTTGCCTACAGGCTATGAAAGCTCGTGCCTCGTCACAGAGCAAAAACCTGCTGGGCTGCATTCCATACTATCTCTCTCTCTCTCTCTCTCTCGCTCTCTCTCTCTCTCTTTTTTTTAACTCCCAGCGGAAGAAGTGGTGTTGTGAAATTTGGGAGAAAACTTTCAAATGTTTTTCCATTGGTGTGTCTGTCTTACACCTACGCAAAAACACCTGTTACATCATCACCTATAGAGTTCTACTGTTTTATCTCTATCTCTCTTGAAACTGCAGATACTTATAGTAGAAGCTTAAATTTTCATAAACCCAAGTAGCCTCTACTAACTATGCTCTTATTGCACTTTCATTATGTTTCCAAATCCTCTCACGAGTGTGTTATTCATAGTACTATTTCAACACAAAATCTCGGTTGTTTTTCCTCTGCAAACAGAGTGATTTTTATACCTGTGTGCATCTTCATTTTAATTTTCATATTCTCAGAACTTACACTTCAAAAAGGAAGCATGTCACAGCTGTAAATCCAATGATGGGCATGCATCCATCCATTCTCTGTATTTCTTAACCTCACGAGGTTGACGGTTGTGTGAGAGCTAATAGCTGACTTGGGCAAGGGGCAGGGTCTACCCAGAACTGGTTGAGATCTAATTACAGGGCACATATAGAAAAACATTCAATTATACCTATAGACAATTTAGTATATGGCCTTCAATTAGGCTAATATGCATGTTTTTGGAACGCAGGCGCGAAGGGAACATGCAACCGCCCCACACAGGAAGGCCAGAGCTTGTGTTTGAACCCACCAACTGCTTGGCGGATGTGCAAACCAGTCTTTCGCCACACGTGTAAAAAAGAAGAAAAAAATGATCCATACATTTTTTATAATCTTTATTTAGACAGTGTCTTTTATTTTGTTGAGATTGTGTATACAGTACAGTATGTTTGTACGATCTATCTTGCTCTTCATGGCATTGCCATCATGATGGGGAAAAAAAAGGCAGAGGTTCCCGTGGGATGTGGAACGACTTGACATATTTTTAGCAGCAACTATTTCTTTATTATGCTATTTTAGCTTAATGGACACAAATCACAGTATCCAGGTTTTAACATATGGATGACTCCATAGAGGGGGTGCCATATGGTTTGGTTCATCCATGATCGATAATCAAACAGTGATGATGATGAAATGCATCATCAACCAACAAATGTTGATTTCAAGAGCGGAAGCAGGAGTAGAGAAGGTGTTTGTAGTTGATCAGTCACCACTAGGTATCACCAATGAGCAACATTAAATCTCCGGAGCATATGAAACCCTTCCAGAAACCTGCAACTGTGCTTAATATAACACCAGAACACACCCCTGTAAGTTTCTTTTCTTTCTTCTTTTTTTATTTTATTTTATATTTTTAATGTCATTATGTGTATGCTGCCTCACTATGAAAAGACAATAAGTAGTGACGTTCCATTTTCTACCTTTGCCCCGAGTTCGCGCTGTCCAAATGATTTTTTTGTTTGCTTGCCTGCATATGCAAATACGATGTTTTTAATAGTCTGAAGTTAAATATAAACTGTCAAATTACCATCCATTGTGCTCTGTTTCAGCACACCCTCGGCACAGCCATTGGACTTCCTCTGTGATGACGTTGCTCTCGATGCTCACTCTTCACATCAATACATTTGCGGTATCTGTGGAAAGCCCCGTCAACATAAGCCAGTTGAAGAAGTATAATGAGTGGCGGAGAATGAAGGCGGCAAGTGATGAAATTGTTTGCCTGTTTGCCTACAGGCTATGAAAGCTCGTGCCTCGTCACAGAGCAAAAACCTGCTGGGCTGCATTCCATACTATCTCTCTCTCTCTCTCTCTCTCGCTCTCTCTCTCTCTCTTTTTTTTAACTCCCAGCGGAAGAAGTGGTGTTGTGAAATTTGGGAGAAAACTTTCAAATGTTTTTCCATTGGTGTGTCTGTCTTACACCTACGCAAAAACACCTGTTACATCATCACCTATAGAGTTCTACTGTTTTATCTCTATCTCTCTTGAAACTGCAGATACTTATAGTAGAAGCTTAAATTTTCATAAACCCAAGTAGCCTCTACTAACTATGCTCTTATTGCACTTTCATTATGTTTCCAAATCCTCTCACGAGTGTGTTATTCATAGTACTATTTCAACACAAAATCTCGGTTGTTTTTCCTCTGCAAACAGAGTGATTTTTATACCTGTGTGCATCTTCATTTTAATTTTCATATTCTCAGAACTTACACTTCAAAAAGGAAGCATGTCACAGCTGTAAATCCAATGATGGGCATGCATCCATCCATTCTCTGTATTTCTTAACCTCACGAGGTTGACGGTTGTGTGAGAGCTAATAGCTGACTTGGGCAAGGGGCAGGGTCTACCCAGAACTGGTTGAGATCTAATTACAGGGCACATATAGAAAAACATTCAATTATACCTATAGACAATTTAGTATATGGCCTTCAATTAGGCTAATATGCATGTTTTTGGAACGCAGGCGCGAAGGGAACATGCAACCGCCCCACACAGGAAGGCCAGAGCTTGTGTTTGAACCCACCAACTGCTTGGCGGATGTGCAAACCAGTCTTTCGCCACACGTGTAAAAAAGAAGAAAAAAATGATCCATACATTTTTTATAATCTTTATTTAGACAGTGTCTTTTATTTTGTTGAGATTGTGTATACAGTACAGTATGTTTGTACGATCTATCTTGCTCTTCATGGCATTGCCATCATGATGGGGAAAAAAAAGGCAGAGGTTCCCGTGGGATGTGGAACGACTTGACATATTTTTAGCAGCAACTATTTCTTTTATATGCTATTTTAGCTTAATGGACACAAATCACAGTATCCAGGTTTTAACATATGGATGACCATAGAGGGGGGGTGCCATATGGTTTGGTTCATCCATGATCGATAATCAAACAGTGATGATGATGAAATGCATCATCAACCAACAAATGTTGATTTCAAGAGCGGAAGCAGGAGTAGAGAAGGTGTTTGTAGTTGATCAGTCACCACTAGGTATCACCAATGAGCAACATTAAATCTCCGGAGCATATGAAACCCTTCCAGAAACCTGCAACTGTGCTTAATATAACACCAGAACACACCCCTGTAAGTTTCTTTTCTTTCTTCTTTTTTTATTTTATTTTATATTTTTAATGTCATTATGTGTATGCTGCCTCACTATGAAAAGACAATAAGTAGTGACGTTCCATTTTCTACCTTTGCCCCGAGTTCGCTCCCGTTGTCCTCAGTTCGGTCTCACCCAGCTTCATATACCGTAAGAATTTAAGTGCCAAATGTTGAATGTGAGTACAAAAACGCTAATTGTTTGTTCACACAAAATAATCTTCAACCGAACAAATGTAATTTTACATTTCCCAGAAACATGACATGCAGCTCACCAACCTGACGACTGAGCCAAAAAGCTGTTGCACTGGTACGGTTTGTTTTGGCTTGTGCAACTAAACTTGGCACAAATCTCAAAAATGCGTTTAAAAGTCAATTAGAAACTGTAAGTCACAATGCCAGGATCAACATTACAACACTGAACACACAGTCAGACCCGATACAGTAATCAGAACAAGTCAGTTATGTTTGCGCATGGAGATAAACGTAGGTATGCGTGGCAATCAATATAAACACTGAACACACTAGGTCTCTCTTATGATTCTTCTTAGCACCACAGTACATGTATTGCATACCAAAAATAATGACTATGCTAAATACATGTTGAAAATCGGGTTGATAAAACTATCCAGCTCTACCTACAATTCAAGCAGTGACATTTTCATGATGCAAAAGTGGCAGAATAAATGACGTCGTGTATGTGAAAAAACAAAATCATGAAACATCCATCAATTAATTTTCTATACCACTTGTGCTGTTTGAGGTAATGGGGAGATGGGGGCGGGCAAAACGCAGTCTGGTTCAGAGGCAGTCGCAGGGAACACACGCACACACACACACACACACACACACACACACAGCCAACCTTTCTCACGCTCACACTGTCACTCAGTTGGAACCAGGTCAGACACTCATATATCTATCTATCTATCTATCAATATCTATATATCTATATCTATTATCTATAGATATAGATATATGTATACAGTACTTCACGGTAGAACAAAAGGTGCGTGTCTGCCATCATACATGCTGTGAGTAAAGTTCTTCCCAAACAGCACATAGCCTCTGTACACGCCGAAAAACATGACGTCAAGTCGTTGCGCACAATAATTATCTGGGTCTTGAGACATTTTCTAAGTAGATGTGTAGTCTACTTCCAAAAGGTATCTCGATCCAGATGATTATGTTTCATTCACTTGACAAAATAAAATGGGTAACTGTATATTTAACAAGCCATTTTCTTTCGCTCTGTGTAATTAGATACAAAAATATGTTAATGAGCCCTCATTGTTGGCGACATACTTGAAAACGTGGGAGGTTTAAGGTGTTGATCAACGTGCTTAGAGCGGAGGATGAGATGAGGAGGATTGGAGGTGTGGCTTACTTCATCTGGAATTCCCCTGAACTCACCTGTGACCACCCCCACCACTGCACCAGAGTATTAAATCTTCTAGCAGGCTGAACGAGGCAACAGGTGCATTTTTGCCAAAGAGGCTACACGTTACGGAGAAATCAGTCAACCAAGATATCAAGAAGAAAACCAAATACTCCACATCCGTCGTGTTCTCTTGGATCATAATTTTACTGCGTCATCCCGTGGCTCACACCAGGTAAAAAAATCATTCAAATAGTGTGGATTTAATTTGAATGTTATGATATGTCTTGACAGAAGTGACTTTTATTTTTAATTTGAATAGATTTCAATTGCAATTTGTTCATATTTGAACTGGGACTCACGTACACTTTTTAAATTATTCCCAGGTTGTTTTTTTTTTTTTTTCCTATGGCATCACAGTGCCTCAGTAGCGTGCTGACCAACGCAAACTTCACGATGTACCAGAACAGTCTTCCTGATATTCTGCCTCATCAACCCAACATCAACAATCAGCAAAACAGCAACCTGGGCTACGGCTCCAACAATGGTGAGAGAAACATGATCTGCACATGTACATGAGAATGCGGCAAATGGAAATAGTGTTGTGTGCCTGGGCTCTGAGGCTGGTGTTAACCATAAGAGCCAAAATACCATCGGTACTTTCACGTGACGCTTCTCCTCAGACCAGACATCATCGCTTATTTCCAATGTAGCCAGGCCCTTACTTCATGGAACTTTGCTTTGACCTCAATTAGACGCTGCTGCTAATCATTTACCAGAGAGTCAATGTTTAACTTATTTTAAGCATCAAGCGGTGCCACCTAGTTGCTAAAACAGTTCGTTCTTTGTTTTTCTGACCTTAGAGAAATAAAGCCCCACCTGGGAGTGATGCAGATTGGTATTAATCAATATCCAAGCTGGCACTGCATTGCAGAAGTTTTCAGTAGGATGTAGTTTCAGAAGTTATATCAAATTTCAATTCTTTTCAAATATCTGTCTCAGTGAAACTTAGCATTATATATTTAATGTTCAATGCAGAGGGTGTAGGGATCGTCCTTTTAATGGAGCACTTTTACACTGCTGAAGTAACTGCTTCCTCTCTACGCAGGTGTTTGGTATGGTCAGATGAATCCTCACTTCTGGACGGCGGAAAACGTTATGGAGTGGATCAGCGCCCAAGCTGACAGCACCAAGTTTGATGCCAGTACCCTGACTCTGTCCTATTGTGCCATGGACGGCCACAGCTTCTGTCAGATGAGCCTGGACCAGATGACCATGGTGTTTGGACCTCAGCTTGGACTGCACCTCCACCAAAACCTGCAAGAATACAAAGCTAAATATGGTAAAGCTGCATTTTTTTTTTCACAAAATATGATTCCAGGCACTTCAGATAACCTCGAATAGATTCACATTTTTGAGTAGCAACTCAACGTTGAGTAAAAGGGGATTTTCTTTTTCTTCCCAGAACTGACGAGCCTATCGGGACCAGAGCTAAATGAAACCTGCCAACTCCTGGATAGGTTCTTGCACAACCTAAACCTCCCAGACAACCTAACCTTCCCTCTTATCAGCACCGTCAAATTTGGTCAAGGTACAAGAGTTTGAAAAGTGTTTGTAAATTTTAGCATCTGGAAGTGAAAATCCTAAAGGTGCTTCATTCCATAAAACAGGTGAAGACTCGGTCAGCAAAATGGAGTTCGACAATGGTGACAATTGCGATCTGCTCAGCCTGACCATGGGGGCCATGACACCTCTGCAAGACGAGTATCTGTCTGATAATCAGTCTGATAGCGAGTGGAGCTCCTCATCCAATAGTCAGTAGTTCATTATTTTATTTGTACATCTACCTGTGGAAAGAAATTTAAGGGTCTACATTTCAACCTTTGTTATATTTCATCAGGTGGCCCGTTTGGCTTCTCGAACCTTGGCTCACCAGAGTCTGGCAGTGGAGAATCTGACCCGGAGTTCTCCTACCCTGTCATTTCAAGTGAGTGGAAAACCGTGAGATTTGTTTGAATTCCTCCATAGTGTGAGTAGTTTTCAATAAACATCTGAACATGTCTGTTTGGGTGACAGAGACGCTGATTAAGAAGGAGAAAGCAGAGTCACAAATTAAACGACCTCGGGGGCGACCTCCTAAAGTCAGCAGGGATCACAGCATTTATGACACGTCAAAGAAAAGTAAACACGGTAAGAATAAGATTTGGGAATAAGAAATAGCATCTTCTGATTTTAATAACACAGGTATCGGATTTGGTTTATCTTCTTTGACCTGTACACAAATCCGCTTGCCTACACATAGAGTCTAGCTCACAGTGCCGTGTGCCTTGTCTGCAGCACCTCGGGGCACTCATCTTTGGGAGTTCATCAGAGATATTCTGATTCACCCAGAGAAGAACCAGGGCCTGATGAAATGGGAAGATCGCCGTGAGGGTGTTTTCAAGTTCCTCAAATCGGAGGCTGTGGCTCAAATGTGGGGCCAGAAGAAGAAGAACAGCAGCATGACATACGAGAAACTCAGTCGTGCTATGAGGTCAGTATGCAACATTGAAGCGTTTTGATGAGATATTTGGACTACCACCTTGATCGTTGACAATCCAGTTTATTACCTACACGCATTTTCATCACAAGCATACATAACACCCCTGTCTCAATTCTGTGTGGAAAAAAAATACATTTTAGATGAAGTGGGCTGCATACTAAAAATGGACTAATTGATGTCTTCCATCCATAGGTACTACTATAAACGAGAAATCCTTGAGCGGGTTGATGGACGGCGGCTGGTATACAAGTTTGGAAAGAATTCCAGTGGTTGGAAAGTTGAAGAGATTGGAATGGGCATCTAAATTCTTCATGGCAGTTGACACGAAAAAGCCAAAGTAGTTCAGAACTTGACTTACCTGCTTATCCTGTCATGGAGAAAATCTTGCTGCCCAAATGTTAAGACACTAACTTCCTTTTCGAGGGAAGGTGTTAAAGAAAATGTAAGCCAGTGTTGTGGGCTCTAGTAGGTTTTGTGAACCAATTTTAATGTTATGTCGTGTATGTGATTGATTGTCATCAAAGAGTCGTTTGAAGTAACTGAAATGGATATTGTTTTGTTCTCTTGCATTGAAATTCAGATTTTTTTTTTTTAAGACTTAGAAAAGTGGGAATTCTTAAGTATAAGTAATATTGCTGCGATGTGTAGCTGGGATAGGCTGCAGCCTGTGACCCCAACAAGGACAAGTGGTCGAGAAAATGGATAAAATGATTGTAACAATGTACACGACATATTTTGTTGTCATATATTAGTAAGTGTTTTACACAGTGTTTTAAAGAAAAATGAATGGTAATTCTATCGCACAATTTACATCTGGTTTAGCTTTCAGAATTTAAAAAAAAAACAATCAGTTGTACTTTTTTATGATCATCCTAGCATCATGCCTCCACTATTCTGGATCATTGTATGTGCACTAGGGGGGGGATGGGGGGGACACTTCTTGATATATCCTGAAGGTTGGAATTTTGTATTTATTTCATTTTTATACAGTTTATATGTGTCTATGTTTTACCTGTTTTTCAATGTATTTCTAAAGCTGTGTGTATGTGCCCAAGAATGAAAACAATGAATTGTTGAATAAAAGCACTGCCTGGTTTGGTGACAACTGAGTACCTATTTGGGTGATTTGGTGACACTTAAAATGAGGGGGATGATGGGATAAAGTCATACACCATATGTTAATTATGGATCAATTATGAAGCATATTGGTGTGGAAAAAATAAATAAAATAAACGCATTGACCATGGTATCTAGAAATATCCATTCATCCATTTTCTGATCTGGTTACCCTCTTAAGGGTCGCGGGGTGTGCTGAAGCCTATCCAAGCTGTCCTTGGGGTACCCCCTGAACTGGTTGCCAGCCAATCGCAGGGCACACATAGACGAACATCCATCCACGCTAACGCTCACACCGAGGGACAATTGAGAGTGTTCCATTAACCTGCCACGCATGTTTTGGAAATGTGGAAGGAAACCAGAGTACCCGGAGAAAACCCATGCAGGCACGGGGAGAACATGCAAACTCCACAGATGAAGGCCGGAGCCAGAATCGAAGCCTGCACCTCTGCTCTGTGTTGCTGACGCGCTAACCAGCCGACCACTGTGCCGCCCTGTCTCGAAACATGGGACGGAAATCTTGTATATTTACTGGACGAAATCATTTTCAAGAGGTTCTAAGTTTGGACCAAAGCACAGAGTCCTTTTTTATTCATTCTACCATGATTTTCTCTCAGGTTGCTTGTTATTTTAGAATCGAAAGATTACACCTTGTTATGGTCAAACCAAAAGACTGAATGTAATTAATTAATGATTACTCAAAAATAACAGACTTATTGACAATACTGATAAACCTTATACTTTAAAATAAACTTTTTGTACTGCTTGATAATCAACCTCATGCTTCTGCCAAATTTATTTTGGTAAATACTGGGTGTGACACTTTTACTTTCCTTTTCACTAACACACTAATTTCACAGGACAGTAAAAATGTTCTTTTGCATGATTGCTGGGAGGAGCATACGGGTAAAAAAAAAAAGGTGTGGCACTGCAATGCTTTTGCTGCAGAATCTCGGACATCAAAGTTTTGAATCGTATGAAATTATTATTTTGATCACTGTCCCGACAGAAGGCCTGTATTTTGACCTTTTGACTTTTTCTTGTTCAGGAAAGGCAAACCAATCTTGATCTCGTCCCATTGTTTTAGAAGACTGTCCTCAGCAGCATTCTGGAGTAGCTGGAGAGTTTTTCGAGACTTGTTGCAGCAGTCCCACAAACAGAAGTCGAACAATTAATTCGGGTTTGGTTTAAATTGGAAATAATGTTCGCTTTCCCATGCTGAAGATCACTTGTCAAGTTATTGTAAACGTGTATGTTCATCTTTCTTTTTGAAAGTCACTCATTCATCCGTGCAGAAGACTTGATCTGGATTTTACTCAATCGTGAAGCAATGCTTTCCTTTTGTCTCCATTTATTTTGGCATTCAGTAGTTAAGTTTGACAGTTCATCAAGAAGATTTATTCGTTTCATTAGTCACTGGCATGGAGGTGCATGAAGTGCATTGGGTTTGCAATTAGATTAAGGGTTTTGATGATATATAAAAAAATAAATAATAATACCAGAAAATATTCTGCTCTCATTGGAAGTAGTACCAGAAAAACTAAAACACATATTTCTCATTTCTATGGCATCACGCTCCAGCCTTAGATGAAGTCATCGTGTACATTTCTCCAAAGCAAGTGAGGCTCTCATTGTCAATATTACCCTTTAGTATGAAATATATGACTAAAATTTATGTTCTTTCATATTTCATACCATTTGAAGTGCAATTGCCATCATAAATACAAAAGTATGCCGGAACTAGAAAGAGTTGATTCAAGAGCACTCAAATGTTCATTCACAACGTGCAACCCTTCTGCATACACAGGAAATGGGCCTCAAATGAGTGTTTTACTGAATGCCTCTTTGGGGTTTGAGATTATTCAGTTCTGTTCCATTGGAGCAACACCTTCATGAAGCCTTTGTCCCACTCAGTACTTGCTTGTTTACTTGTAGTTTACTTACTGTCAGCTATGGCTGGCTATATTGCTTTTAATGCCCCAGGCTGTTAAACTGATTTCAAACTATTTATGGCTCTTCTTTGGTTATTTAATGAATTGTTTATATGAATTTCAATTCACTTCTCTTTGCCTTCCTTTGAGTAGAAATGTTTTGACTTGAAATGAATGGGCAGTAGTATTTGAATATCATGATATTGAAGGTCAATTTTCACTCGTTTTTTTTGGATGTCCCTTAGAATCTGCGGGGCCCTTACTAACCACCTATATTGTCTAATGGGCAAGCCAGATTTGGGTGCATTTGCAAAGTACGTCTGTACTTGTCATCGATCAGTGCATTGTGATGAGAATCAGGCCTAATTGACAGCACAGATTGGCCTGTTTCCAGTGCACTGACATTGCGAGACAGTCAAGTATCGGACTTTTGGCCCGTTATTGTGAAATTGTAATACATTAAATAAACAAATAAAGGCCCTGCACAATAGAAATAAGAAACAAAGTCGGGAAATTGGCAGTAATCCTTTATTGTATTGCGAAAAGATTGCATCCAATGAAGCATCTCGTGAATGTGTGTGTGTGTGTGTGTGTGTGTGTGTGTGTGTGTGTGTGTGTGTGTGTGTGTGTGCGTGTGCGTGTTGGCGGGGGGGGGGGCACAGCTGTTGTTTTACAGTAAGGACATAAACTGTCTCATAAATATGTCAATAAAATTGTTTCAAACTATTCTTTGTGCTCGTGATGATACATAGTAAACAATTCCATAGCAATGGCAGAAGTGTCGCTCTGTGGTTACTGAGTGCCTTACTGGTTTATTTTGTATTAATTACTATATATTGCTTTGAACAGATGCCCATTCTACCATGAGACCCAGTCGACCGTTGACTGCAGCGAGTATTGCACAACCTATCACGTGAGTCCCTTTCTTATTACCGGTAGTCATTATACTTGAACACATTTTAGCACCATGTAGTCTTCCCGTATTTCACTCAACCCTAACTTCCCATGTCCCAATTTATTTTAGAAAATAAAAATTGTGACCTTCACAACCAAACTAGACACACCTCAACAAAAGGTTCAAATAATGCAAAAACCACAAACAGTGACTCATCCACCCACTTACGTGTCAAGATCAAGGCCTGTGGGCCAGATGCGGCTCGCCACCTCATTTAATGTGGCCCATAAAAACTGAAAAGGTTCATGCATTGGCCATCAACTAGAAATACATTCATGAAAGTACTAGTCCTGTAGAATACATGAACTTGTGCATTTATCTCATCCTTTACATTCTGCCACAGATTTGTTGTGAGAAGCAATTGACAGAGCACATGGTGGTGGGCCACTGAAATACTCTTATTGTGTCATGGTAAAGACACAAGAGCATTACGATAAAGACACAAACATCCATGCATCCATCCATTTTCTAATTCTCTTCTCCTCACGAGGGTCATGGGCGTGCTGGAGCCTATCCCAACTGTCTTCGGGCAGTAGGCAGGGTACACCCTGAACGGGTTGCCAGCCAATCGCAGGGCACACATAGATGAAAACACAAACAGTCTCGTAAAAATCCTATGAGTTGCACGAGTGAGATGTGTTGCCCTTGAAACTCTCAGGATTCCTAACTATGCAGAAAAAAAAATGGAGTGATATTTACTTAAGAAAACTTGTGCTGTGAAGTGCGCACTGCAACACCGCTTTCCAAACCAAATGTTCGTGCGTGACTGATATTTGTCTGTGTGGGACCAAATGTTAAATGTTCACTCGAGTTGCTATTTTTAGACTTTGAGAACAGCTTGACTTGACTAGGGACTTGGTATCTAAATGACTTGCCTTAGACTTGAACTATATGATTTGAAAAGTCATCGTTTTTATAGTTTGAAATTCGTATTTTAACATAGTTTGCCTTTTTAGGAAGGAAAGAAATCCGAAAGAAAAAAATATATTTTTGTTCCAATCACATCAACCTGACAACCAAGTCAGTTTCACTTGTTGGTGTGAAGGAGCGATGTAAACATCAAAAGCTTGGGAGCAACTCCGGGGATCATTAATTTGAATTAAACATTTATTTTGTTGATGACGGTGTAAAACACAAATGTCAAAGTCAAGGCCCGGGGGCCAGATCTGGCCCGCCACATCATTTTATGTGACCCGAAAAAAGCAAATCAAGCATGTCAAGTTCCATGATGCTTGCTAAAGTCAGAACCAACATTTCAAATTGTCATATGTAATCCACAATAACAGTCATTATTCTTGACTTCTGATTTTAAAACTAGTTCTTCATCACTTTGCTGTGCGCTAGGTATGCATGCATACCTGTCAACTTTTCGGAGCGCCAACCTGTATAAACTACCAAAAAAAATCCTTATAAAGAGCAAAAAATCCTTGTAACATACCAAAGCATTTTATATGTCAAAATAACGGCAGAAAAAACCCCACGAAATATGAATGATATATTTGTTTCCTTGTAGAACTTGCTTGTAAACTACTGAAGTATGCAATGAATACTCTGCTGTTTTCAACTAGGAACCACGTGATTTACTGGAAAGTTACCGGAAATGAAAGCATTCGAGTAGACTAGCACCATTCTGGGCAAAAGCAAACGGAACTACCTGTTAGGGGGAAAAAAAAAAAAAAATTCAGAATCCGTATGATTTGTGCGATATGGCCATATACGTAAGATTATCCACAAAATCCGTATGAACTATGGCTAAACCGTATGAGTTGACAGGTATGGGTATGTAACATGTGGAGGGGATTAAGCATTGATATGGTTTCCCAAAATTCATAACAAGCCCTTCAAAGGAAACCGGAGCTACAATGTGGCCCGCGACAAAAATGAGTTAGACACCCCTGGTGTAAAACATAGGATGGCAAAACGCATGTTTTGCATCTCACAGAACAAATACAAAACGAGAATGTCAAACTTCCTTCGTCATTACAACACCCACGGACAGGTAAGCTAACCTTACAGTTTAGCTAGCAATACGATCATTGGTTTGGGACGAGTAAAAGATAGCCGGATGTGATCATGTGAACATTCAGATCCAGCTAGGTAACG